AAAGCCAGATAGACACTATCACACACTCACCACTATGCGACGCGTTTCGCCGTTGGTTAAGCGGCTCATCAGGCATATTTGGTGTGGATGATGGCTTACAAGGGCCGTTCTCTGGAAAGTAGTATCTTCGCCTTAACAAGGCAAAACTCAAAAATTCAGCCGAGCCTGGTTGTGGGATTTGAACCGCGGACCTCGGTGTGCAGCCAACTAGAAGTTGCAGTCTCTACGTTCAGAGCCATTAACCCGTCTTTCTAAAAGCAGCACTAAAACAAGTGTATACATTGGAAGCAATGTAGTTGTTGTGGACAAAAAATTCATCACTACAAAAACAAAACTTTGCTGTGAAAAAGATCAGCCAATAGAACTTGAGTCGAACCTGAAGAGTTTCTAGTGTATAATTCGCATATGCTAATTTGCAATAAGTTCGAAATATATACTACTTTCCAGAGAACGGCCCTTGTAAGCCATCATCCACACCAAATATGCCTGATGAGCCGCTTAACCAACGGCGAAACGCGTCGCATAGTGGTGAGTGTGTGATAGTGTCTATCTGGCTTTCCTTTTCACTGCAAATTTCAGATCATTAAGCTCGTCTCGAAAGAGAAAACAAACACATAAATCATAAAACATATGATCTTCGCCTTAACAAGGCAAAACTCAAAAAGCTTTTTTGTTTTGTTTTACTTTCAGAAAGTTCCATTAGACATTTGAATTTTGAAACATTTTAAATTTTCTCGACAATTACTTGGACTTGCTTCTGAAACTATATTAGTATCTCTTTACCAAATAAAAAGAAAACAAGTAAAAAAGCAGTAAGTTCGGCCGGGCCGAACTTTGAATACCCTCCACCATTTGGAACGAATTAGAAATTTTTCAAAAAAATAAAATCCATTAAAAAATTTGTTAAAATCTTTAACATATCTATTATAGGAAGGTGCCGATATATGGGGGGATATACGATATTGTGGACCTATAAAGACAAATCTATGTCTGAGTGTAAAGTACTCACAAGGAACTCCGTGTGTGAATTTTCAGACAATACGATTGGAAAAAGTTTCTAAAATCTTCAAAATACCGAATATAGGGGAGTACCGTTATATGGGGGATATGCGATATTGTGGACCTATATAGACAATTCCGTTTCAGGGGTAAAGTGCTCACAAAGAAGTCCGCGTGTGGATTTTCAGACAATACGATTGGGAAATGTGGCTAAAATCATCAAAATACCGAATATCGCGGGGTACCGTTATATGGCAGCTATATGTTATTGTTAACCTCTGTCGGGGGGTAAAGTGCTCACAAAGAACCCCTTGTGTACAAAGAACCCCTTGTGATCATATCGTGGACCTATATAGATAATTCTCTGCCGAGGTATAAAGTAGCCACAAGGAACTCCTTGTGTGGATTTTCAGACAATTCCGATAAAAAATGTGGCTAAAATCATAAAAATACAGAATATCGGGGGTACCGTTATATGGGGGATATACGATATCGTGGACCTGTATAGACAATTCTCTCTCAGGGGGTGAAGTATTCACAAGGAACTACTTGTGTGGATTTTAAGACAATTCCATTGAAAAATGTGGCTAACATCATCAAAATACCGAATATCGGGGGGTACAGTTATATGGGGGATATACGATATTGTGGACCTATATAGACAATTTTATTGAGGGGGTAAAATGCCCACAAGGGACTTCTTTTGTGGAATTTCAGACAATTCCATTGAAAAATGTGGTAAAATCATCAAAATACCGAATATCGGGGGGTACCGTTATATGGGGGATATACGATATCGTGGACCTGGATAGACAATTCTCACTCAGGGGGTAAAGTACTCACAAGGAACTACTTGTGTGGATTTTAAGACAATTCCATTGAAAAATGTGGCTAACATCATCAAAATACCGAATATCGGGGGGTACAGTTATATGGGGGATATACGATATTGTGGACCTATATAGACAATTTTATTGAGGGGGTAAAATGCCCACAAGGGACTTCTTTTGTGGAATTTCAGACAATTCCATTGAAAAATGTGGTAAAATCATCAAAATACCGAATATCGGGGGTACCGTTATATGGGGGCTATACGATATCGTGGACCGATATAGCCCATCTTCGAACTTGACCTGCCTGCAGACAAAAGAGAGATCTGTGCAAAATTTTAGCTTCCTATCTTAATTCGTTTAGACTGTAGCGTGATTACAACAGACGGACGGACAGGGCTAAATCGTCTTAGAATTTTACGCTGATCAAGAATATATATACTTTGTTGGGTCTAAAATGATTATTTCGATGAGTTACAAACGGAATGACGAACTTAATATACCCTCCATACTTTTTTTGGTGGAGGGTATAAAAAAACCAGTAAAGAAAGTCCAAGAGTCGGGCGGGGCCGACTTCATGATACCCTACACCACTTTGCTAATTTTTTAGAGCTCCAAATAACAATTAAAAGATTTTATGGGAGAATTTTATCATACACGCTATGATTATAATTATAATTTAAAGTTCAATGGACTAAATATGCCGAGGCATTTGTATCTTTAAAATTCGGACTTGTATTGTCCATTTGGTGCACAATTCATTTGAAATCGGATAAAGATATATATGGGAGCTATATCCAAATCGGAACCGATCTTGATATCATTTGGTAAAGGTATTTCTGTGGTGTATTTCATATATTTCCCCAAATATTGTTGTTACAGAGTGCAAATTACGGCTGCGGAGGACAAAAATAACAAATCGGATGAACAATAAATATGGGAGCTATAGCTATATCTGAACCGATATCGATCAAATTTGGTATACTCATTTTTTTTTTAATTTGGTTGTATGTGCAGAATTCCATACTATTCGGGCTGATATTACACGTTTGGTGCACAATAAAAGGCAAATCGGACGAAGATATATATATGGGAGCTATATCTATTTTTTTACCGATTATTTCCAACTTCAATAGGGTTCGTCCCAGGACCAAACAAATGTTGTTTGGAAAATTTCATCTCAATCGGGTAATAAATGCGACCTGTAATTTGTTCACAAGAATACATGGACAGACGGACTGACATGCATAAATCAACTCAGAAATTGATTCTATGAAGATCCTCAAATGTAACTATGGGTCTATCTCGCTTCCTTCTCCATGTTGCAAACAAATTCACAAAGACATAATACCCTTACCACTATGTGGTGTAGCGTATAAAAACAAGTTAAAAATATCAGTCGGTTTTGCCGACAAAAGTACACCCTCAGCCAATATTCGATTATTTAAATATATTTTGACTTCTGTTAAGATTATTCAAATTTTTGACCCTCTATGAAGGAGGTACCGAAGGAATGGGCCAATGTTGTCCATTTCGTATCTAAACTAAATAAATATGATATAAATATTACGACATTAGGTTTGGACTATATTGGTTAATTCCATCACTTTGTATAGGACATTTGATAAATTTTAGAAAATGTTAATATGTGCTTGAGGTACCAGACATAGTCTGCAGAAGTAATCCCTTTCTTATAGTCCATCTAATTCATATAAAAATAGTGATCTGAGCAAAATTACACTAATTTCGATAAATTTCACATTCAAATCATGTTACTAGTTGACAGAAATATAGAAATATAGCAAGTTGTAAAGAATCGCTGATAATCGAATCGCCAGATAGAAGTTTTGAAAATTGTGACCCTTCACAACAGGTGTTGGTAAAAATGTTTGGATGTGTGAAATTTAAAGAGAGTTGGATGCTTACTTCGCTTTCTTCCTTAGCGTTTTGTTTTTCAAAGTATTGAATCCTATGTTGGGGAGGTTACAAAAGAAATGGTCCGATCTCTACCATCTTTCTAACAGATCTTGTGTTGATGAAAAGTCTGAATGTAATCGAATGTTAATTTAGCGTTTTGTGAGATTCATGGATATTTAAAATTTTGAGCCTTTGTGGAGGAGGTACCAGAAGGAGGTACTTAAAACAAAATCTTGAGTTTATAAAAATATTGGAATGTGTGAAATTTGAAGACAATTAAGTACATTTTATAAGAGTTATAATTATTCTAAATATGTGTAAAAAATATTTTTTTGTTTGAAAATTTCGACCTTTTGTGGGGGAGGTACCAAAAGGAATGGTCCGATCTCTACCATCTTTATGGAAGATCTTGCGTTGGTAGATATATTGACATTTGTTAAGTATGAATGGAATAGGATGTTAAAATAGGGTTTAATGAGCTTCACGAGTTGATAAAAAATATTGGAATGAGTGAAAATTGAAGGCAATCGGACTCGAACATCACATTCTATAAGAGATGTAATTATTTAAAATTTTGACCCCAATGTGGGGGAGGTACTTGATGAAGTGAACCGATAATGTCAATTTTCGCACTTGACGTAGAACTGACGCATATATTAGGATTTGCAAAGTGGGAGCAAAATCGGCTTATCGCTTTTATTTCTGTGCAGAAAATATTTTGTTTCTTTGAAATTTTCGACCTTTTGTGGGGAAGGTACCAGAAGGAGTGGACCGATATTACCCATCTCAGAACTTGATCTAAGTTTGACAAAAATATTACGATGTACCAAGTTTGGACCAAATCGGATACTTCCTTCGAGAGTTATCGTGTGCACCAACCTGCCAGACAGACGGACGGACATCGCTACATCGACTCTAAATGTCCTTAAAAGGATTCGGTCCAAAGAGACCTAGGGTCTAAAACCGTTATTTTGACTACGCACGTTTTGACCGTATCAATGATATATACCCTCTCTAGCCATATGGCTGAGGGTTTAAAAATACAGCAGACAATGCCAACATCCTTGAAGTGTATAACTGTCACACCAAATGAATTAAAGATGTCGTTGGTGCCATTTAATTTAAAATGTGTCAAAATAAATTCTCCCTTTATGTCACATAATAGTTTCTCAATAAGCCACTCCACAAATGAAAACAACTCAAAATTCTCGCCTGCAAAGGTTATTAATAAATTAAACGGGCCAATGAACTTACCACGTCTTTTGTTGTACTTTGAGAATATTGCAAACGTTTTGTACGCCGTTGAATACGTTTACGTGCTATTTTGTAGATTTTCCAGTACAGAACTAAAATCATTAATAACGGGACATAAAACGAGCAACAAGTAGCGAAAATCTGAAAATAAATGGCAGACAGACATTAAAAGGATGCCATTAAACAATTGTCATGACCGAGAACATAAGTTAGACAAATAGTTTGTCATTAAAATAAATTACGGTTCGGTCGCCATGAATTATTGATGGCAGCTATTGTGCATCTCGTGTATTTCTCCTACTCCAACCCCTCCCGACTTACCTGATAAATGACATCCTGCGAAACCATACATTTTTGTTGTTCAATGCGTTCCATATACTCGGGATCCTTCCAGCCAAATTGCGGTGCCAGGGAAACAATGACAGCGAAAAACCACACCGTAAATATCATGCAAAAAATGCGACGCGGTGTCCGTAAATTGTGATAATCAATATCCGTCACTGTCCAGTATCTGCAAGGAAAAAAGGTTGAGCCATTTAAGTGATTGTCATTGTTAAGTTGTATAATTTGTCTGCAGCAGATTATCCCTACCAAAGACGGGTGCGTTTTTTTTTTTTCAAAAGGTTAGAGAAAAAATAAAAGAGAAATTATGAAAAACACTATAAAAAGATAATATTAAAAAATGATAGTATTTTGAACAATAATTTAAAAACGTAAATACATGATGTCTTATGAAATAAAATTAAAAAGAAGAATGTCTCACCTTCCTTTCTTTTAAAACTTTTCCAAATGTCTTATTCTAGGGATTTGTGAATGAACTAAGTTCGCAGTCTTTGGTCGAGTACAACTTGGGTCGTTGGTAACCCTTATGGAATTACACGTTTTTTTAAGAAAATTTTAGTTCGTTCATTTAATTTTCGACATAATTTTTACATTTTTGGAAATTTCATTGAATGAAAGCAAAAAATGTCGGAAATAGCATCAAATTTTAGAATAAGTTTAGATTTGTTCATATTGGTCACCTTTGGCACGAATTATGACCTTCAAACGGCCAATGAAATCGTCGAATGTTGCTCTGCTGTATTTTGGCCCATTCCAGGCAAAACGCTTCCTTGAGGTGATCGACACATTGGTATTTTTAAGTGCCAACCTTGCTTTCCAAAATACTCCAGATACTCCATAGATTTTGGTGGCCATAGTGCGCTGGAAATTAAGCGAGGAACCACATTATCACCATGACCGGCGCTTGAGTTCTTCCTTCCAACCGAAGGTGCACATTTTCAGCTGACCTCTTTGGCAAGTAATCACGATCATCTTGTTTGTTTACAAACTGCTGGACATCGAATTTTTTCTCATCGGAGAAAACCAAATTCGGCAGTTTACCACTTTCGGCTAAGGAAAGCAACTTTTTAGCTCTTTTGAGTCTCTTTTCTTTCTGTTGCGGTGTAAGCTCTTGTACTTCTTGGGATTTGAATGGCTTTACCCCGAGCTCATTTTCGAAAATATTTGCCGAATGAAATATTGCGATATATTCAGCACACGAACCATTTTTCGGCTACTGCGACACGGGTTTCGATCAAGTCGCTTCTTTACTTTTCGAACCATTCTGCGATCGAGCGATGGTACGATACACAACGATAGCCAATTGTGGTTTTCCAGCGAACTATAATTCACGAATAACTTTTTTCTGGAAAACTCTCACCAAAATGATTTTGTACGCTTGTAAACAATATATTAAGCTGTCACTGCAATAATTTTAACAGCTGTCGGCTAGAGGGGCTTAGGAATGACAGCAGTCTGAATTCGGTTGCAGTTTTTTCATCTGACCTTGTACATTTATTGGCCGAAAATTATGTTAATTGCAACTTGTATCTCGATTTTCGGCTTAACTCTAGTTTAGTAAAAACTCTTAATTTTTTTTCGAAATTTTTTTCCAGTGGTAGGTATTTTTACCCTGATCCCGGAAACTATTTTTTCTTGTGGGACGGACCCGGACCCAAATTTTTGACCCGAAAGTCCGGGTTCAAGACACGGTCTGGACCCGGATGCACTTACTCGAAAACCGGAAAGCTTATGAAAATACCTATCCAACAAGTGGTCACATGATGGGGTAAGTTATAGTCAAATTATCGACGGCTACGCGAAATAAACCTTTTTTATTCAAAACATAATTTGAATGAGCCGGTTAGAATCGGGTTATGCCGATGGAAAGACCCATATCTCTGGACCCGAAAAAGGGATTAGCACAAATAGTAGCACTTTGGAAAGGTAAGAGTGACAGCTATAATTTGGCATCAATTTTGTTTACCCCCATAATGGGCCTTTTTGAATTTTTGGGGGTTTTAAAATAAATTCGGGTCCAAACATCGATCATTTGACTATAACTTCCGAACCATGACCATTTACTCCATCATGTGACCACTTCTTGGATGGGTATTTTCATAAGCTTTCTTAATATATTGTCTATATCGGGTAAGTGCATCCGGGTCCGTCCCCCAAGAAAAAAATAGTTTCCCGGAATCAGGGTAAAAATACTTACCTCTGGAAAGAAATTCGAAAAAATCGAAGAGTTTTTACTAAACTAGAGTTGTTACGGATTTTCTTATCTTGCCGAACTGAGTCGATCCAGCTACGTATGACCGTCAGTCCGTCTTTTAAATTGTAATCAGACTACAGTTTTTTTTTTCAGTCCGATTTTGAAATGGGTTTAAGGATTTAGAGATGATCACAAAATATTTAGGGGTTCAAATAGATAAAAACAGAAAAAAATCTTGATTCTGCAGCTGCTCTAGAGGTCACAATTATAGACCAATTTTGCATTGGGTCTGAGTCCAGGTCTGGGCAGAAGCCTAGCAATTTCGATGATTGTCGAATAATATTTATCGAATAAAATAGACCATACCTTTTATATAAAATACGAACATTTTTATTAAACCGAGAATATTTTTAATTCCAGTGAAATCACAAATACACGACAATGCCAATAGCAAAATATATACAATCTCATATTTCAAGGAAGGTAATGTTAGTTAGACCGCTTACAACTAAAGATCGGCTTGACGGATTTTTACCAATTCAGAAAGGCCTTTAGGCAGAAAATAATAAAAAGATGCTAATAAATATTTTCTGATATATTTATTTTTTTTTTTGTCATATTCTTCAGCGCATAAGTTATGTCTTTGTTCATTTTTTTTTGTAACAGGGAGAAGGAAGCGTGATAGACCTATAGTTACTTCTGAGAATTCTCATAGAACCACCTTCTAAGTCGTTTTATGCATGTCGGGCTCAAAAATACCTCTGTCAAATTTAATCGAGATCGGATCAGATTAGGATGTTGCTATATCCAAATCTTAACCGATTTCTAATTAATTTGACAAATTAATTATTGTTTGGAACATATCATACATGTGATCGGGGGAAAAAATATATATGGGAGATATACCCAAACTTAAACCGATTTCAATATAATTTAGCAAATTTATTTTTGTACCAAATTTATTCACTCATGTCGAATTTCATTGGAATCAGACATTCGTATCGTGTTTGGTGCATCAACTATGTGAAATCGGCCCTAATATATATGAGAGCTATATACAAATCTGAACCGATTTCAATAAAATTTGACATACTTATTTTCTGAACAAATCCCGTCACACATTTGAAATTTCATTGCAATCGAACAAACAAATCATGCTAGAGGCATCAAATAAACGAAATCGGTCGAAAATGAGTCCAAATGAACTGAATTCTGGCACATTCGACGGGATTCAGTCAAGAATCAAGTGCTTCAAGTTTTGGTGAAAATCGGTTCAGATATAGCAATAGCCCCAATACATATGTTTCATCCGATTCGGTATTTAAAGTTCTTCACATGCGTAATATGCATTCCACAACAATAATATTTGATACCGGACATCAGATACTGCTCGAAAATAACTCTGCCAAATTTTATTGAGATCGCTTCGATATGCATCTTTATCCGATTTTACGGTTATTGCTCACTATGGAGGGTATAATAACTTTGTCATTCCGTTTGTAACTCCTCGAAATACTCATGTCAGACTCAACAAAGTACACATATTCTTGATCAGTGTAAAATTCCAAGTCGAATTAGCGATGTCCGTCTATCTGTCTGTCCGTCTGTCTGTTGTAATCACGCTATCTTTTGCACGAATTGAGATAGAAGGCTAAAATTGCACACATGTTTATTTTGCCAGTAGGCAGGTTAAGTTCGTAAATGGGCCATATATATATAGCCCCTATATAACGGTACCTCCCGATATTCGGTATTTTGATGATTTTAGCTTCATTATTCACCGGAATTGTTTCAACTTACGTATTTAGAGTTCTTAATGGAAACTACAGTCTGTGACAGAAAATTGTCTATGCAGTCTTCGTATAGGCCCCATATACCAGTACCTCCCTATATTCGGTATTTTAACGAGTTTAGGTACATTACCCACAGATGTCGTATTTGAAGTTCGTAATGGATGCTACAGCCTATGACAGAAAATCGTCAATGCTGATCTAGGTCTTCGCACAACTCCGATATAAGGGTATCTCCCTATATATGATATTTTGATGATTTTAGCTACATTATTCACCGTTTATTTCAAGTTTCGAATTTGCATATGGTAATGATTTATGACAAACAATGCCAACGAATGGACATGGACCTACAGGTCGTATATATTCGGTATTACGGATATATTCGGTATTTTTAAAATTTTAACAGAATTTTTGAAGATTTTATTTTCAAATTGTGGAGAGCATTCAAAGTTCGGCCCGGCCGAACTTATAGCTTTTTAACTTGTTATACACTCCAACTTGGAAAGGAGGGAATATTAACTATGTCATTCCGCTTGTAACATCCCTAAATATTCGTCGTAGACCCCATAATGTATATATATTCATAATCAGCATAAACTTCTAAGCCGATTTAACGATGTCCGTCTGACTGTCTGTTTGTCCATCTGTCTGTCTGTTGAAATCACGATACAGGCCACATTGTTTGACGCAGAGCGTCAAAATTGAGCAGAACAATTTGTATTGTGTCTAGGATTGTTGATATTGAAAATGACATATATCGGACCACGTTTTGGTATAATCTCCATATAACGGTACCTCCCGATATTAGGTATTTTGACGATTTTTTCCACATTTTTTCACGGATTTGTCTGAAATTTGGCATTTGTAGGTCATAGTGTGTCCCAGTTCGTGTGAGGAAACATTGCATGTGTAATGCATTTCCCCCATATCACGGTATTTCACATATTCGGTATTTTTATGATTTTTGCCACATTTTCCCACGAATACCTCTAAAATTTGGCATAAGTGGGTCATAATTGGTTCTAATGTTTCCATTGCCCTAAGGTGGAGGGTATTAAAAGTTCGGCCCGGCCGAACTTAATGTTTTTTTACTTGTTTTCTTATACCATCCAACATACTATGGAGGGTATATTAACTTTGTCATTCCGTTTGTAACTCCTCGAAATACTCATGTCAGACCCA